GGTCTTAAAATAATTGAGAAGAATTTGCTACCTTTCTATAACATCAAGAAATGGTTAGATATTCTAGTCTTCTCGGATAGGGACGAATAAATGGAGGTCCCGTCTCCTGCAGGGTTGGGGTAGGAGACGTTAATTTTTCCCACACACGAGATTACTGTGTGATGGATGTCCTCCCCTGGGGTGGGATGGGTGGGATATTGGGCGCACTTAATTTGGAGCCTCGCTCCGTTGTGCCACCCTCACCACACTCTGGTGAAAGGGATTAAATACTGTCAATTTGAAGAACAATGGCACCTCACACCAGTTCAATAATTAAGTAATCATTTTGTAAAGGTTTTCCCATTACTAAACTGAAGAGGCTAGAGGTCATGTCGCTTGTTGGCCTGACTTAGAATAAAGTCTACTGAGGAACCAAAACGCTGTTTCGTCCTTGACGTCCTTATAAGCTCGGTCGAAGTAGATCTCCGTGTGCCAGGAAATCGTGACGAGTTTCCTTTCTCGCTGCCGAGTCGCTCTACAAAGCTAGTTTCCCCCGTCATTGTTCTGCCGTCCGAGAAAGTTCAGTTTCTCACGCGCAAAACGTATCGTCACACTTTATCATCTGCTCTCTAAAACATTGTTGTAAGTTTATGGAGGATCTTCCCGTATTTAAACTCGTAATTGCAGCCCTAAATCAGTAGGGTTGTTTTTCAAAGCATTTCGTTAAGTAGTAGAAAAAACATAAATGTTATTTACCAACATGGGTCGCTCCGTACTGGGAAAAACGCTGCTTTCTGTCTTGAGAGCCGCCCTCGGCCTACGGTCTCGGGCTGTATCCAAGACTTCGGGCGCAGTTTTTCCCAGTACAGACCTCCTCCATGGTGAATAACATATATTGATTCCTAGGGGCCAAAAACAAGAAATTATAATTCTAGTTTTGCAAACTGTTTACCTACTAAGACTGGTGAGAGATAGGAGCACATAGTGCTAAGAGGACGTACAAATAACTTTCCTCTGGGAGTTTAGGACAAAACGGCTCTCAAAAAGATTTTCCTGTTCTGACTGTCCAGGCATTTTTTAATTAAATGAACAGTACTGCGCGAAAGAAATGCAGCATGCAATTGGTCAATATTTTACTTTGTTACAAGATAACGTCAAAGCTGGAATTGACTGTAGTTCCTAGGACTCCATTTGGTGAACTCACTTTATTCTAAGAAATTCAGTATGGATCTAACAGTATTCCGGTCCTAGGTAGTAGGAAATTTGTAGTAATCTTGTGTTTCAGTTATATAACGTAGTTCAAAGATGCCTCATAATGTTGGGTCTAGCTTCAACAGGGAGTTGTTCCTGATGGTCTCCATACACACGGAGACTAAAGCAAAGGTTTACCACTATTTTCAGGGATAAATCAGGTTTACTTGATCCAATGATAACGACGGCATTTATTTTCTCTGAACGCAGTCAATTTATAACACATATTCACTCGTGGACTTAGTATCTTCTTACGCGATTTGTTGTTGATTTTTACTCCTTACTGCCCAGGAAGTCAAGATATACCGTGGCAGTGTTCCCACTGTTCTTGTCTATTGCAGTGGCTTTAATCTCAGTTCCGCCAAACTCTATCGCTAAGTCAATCATTCGGTTGGCTCCTTTCGTAACGATAGGTGATTTGACGACAACCTCTCCTATGGAGTTGCTAACTGCAGCGTCTGTTGAATATTTGGCGTCAGGATTGGTCGAGGTGAAAAAACTGAACCTGCATGCTGTTTGACTTTCTTTCAATGGCCTGTAGTCAGGGAAGACTTTCTTTTCACCTGTCCTTACAATGTCATTCTCTTTAACAAGAACCACAAAGCAATCTTCACAGTAGGCTACACCGTCAACGATTTGCTGCTTCTCAATTGGGTGAAGACTGGGATCAAATGGAAGGTACGTATCGAAGCCATAAGTCGTAGACATTACTCTGGAGTCGACAATGTCAGGTATTTGGCCAAACATCACCGCACCTTGGACAACTGCAATGCTGGCGTTGCTCGGAACTAAAATTCTGCATCTGTAAATAGAGATAAAATATCAAAGATGGCAGTGTTTTCACTTGTCATGTTTCACGTGAGAAGTCAGTTGCATTCCAGCCATGACAAATATCTCCTTTGGTTAGAAAATTACCCTTTTGAATCAGTAAATTTCAGGGTAGCTTGTATCTAACTACTTTAACCACGACTCTTCGTACTGAAGGTACTCAGTTCGTTTTGTGCGAATGATTACGACCTACAAATAGGCTAAGGTTCTCCTGTCCAAACCTCCAACCCGTTCAAACGTTAACATCAAATTTGCCTTACCTCCGGCCAAAATTCTGCTTGATTGCATCCTGAAGTATTGCTGACTCGGCAAAACCTCCGACAAGGAAGAAAAATTGCAGCTTACGGAGCATACGATGCTTAAGGAGGTTGTTCAGGTGCTTCACTATTTCATTCAGAACGGGTTCAAACAACTTTTTCATGGCCGCTGGTCCTATACAGAAGTACTCATTTCGGACGAATTGGACATCGTCAGTTCTACAGGAACTTGCAAATCGTCTTGCCAGATAGGGCCCACCTTGTTCTGAAACCAGTGCTGTAAAGGTTCTGGGAAGGCGAATTCTAGTTGCTTCACCCTCGTAAGCTCGGCGTCCTCGCTTCTTCATCTCAAATTCATTCATCATCTCAAGCCATTCTGCTGGGTAGTTGTCACGGAAGTTTTTCACTTGAGAAGTTCCAAAAAAGCTCTCAAGCAGGCACACGAACTCCTCATCAACTTTAGTTCCACCATAAGGTCCTCCGGTCACTTGATGGATTTCTTTAATGTTTCCATTATTTAAGATTTCATGAGCTGTGACATCAAGAGTCCCGCCTTTATTAAAAAAGAACAGGAGAACTGTTAATTTACAGCCTCAGCCCCTACATTCATATTGCTTGAGTCAAACATAGAGCGCATGTCGAGGTCAACGCCGTTTTGTTTGACTCCCTTTGAGTAAGACGATTAACATTGTTCAAACAAACAAAAAAAAATCAAGATGCAAACACCTCACCGCTGGTTTCGTTATGCCAAGTTTTGCAAATCTTCGAAGACTTGGGAAACCGATGTGAACTAAATTTTACAATAAACTGACTGATTTGCAACTTCCAAGTCCGACTTTTTTAAATGGATCTACCAAAAGTTGCTAAAAATCCTGCGTCCAGTACGAACAAATAAACTTTTAAAAGTTAAAGAGAGGAAAAACTTTTTTCACTAAATAATACGAGAAGTTTCTTTTAAATTATTTTAGTGTATTTTTCTCAGTATGGCCATTATTCTGAGCATTCAACCTTGCCTCCGATATCAATAACAAGGTATTTTGACTCAGGTCGAGCAAAGACGTCAGATACAGTGGCATCTCCTTTCTCATTGGTAAATTCTCTCATCTTCATTTCTCTGCAGTATATTGAGGCTGCTTCTGGTTCCAAAGCGATAAGCAGCTGTTCGGGGTTATTATCCGATGCCATCTTAGCCTTCCAAAATAAAGGCAAAAGAAAGAGAGGTTACAGAGGACAACTAATTTTAATAAACACAACTTTAACCTTAAACTTGATTTTCCTTATTTGCGAACACTTCTAAGGAGAAGAAAAAAATCTTGTTGCATTTGTAATAATGCGCAGGTTTTCATTAATTGACTACTGCAGAGTGACCTCTTTCTTCCTCGTCCTGCATTTTCTTTTCTGTTTTTTTTTTTCTTTTCACCACTTTTACTCATCTCAAGTAGTAAAGCGGAAAAGGTAACTCATCTAGAATTACCTTATATGCAGCTTCTCTCATGAATTGCTTAGCGGCGGGTCTCCAAATGGCAGGTACTGTTATGACCCATCGAATGTCTTTTTCATTATACTTTTCGTCCCCAGTTCTCTCGCGGATAATTTCGATAGCTCGATCTTTGAGAAACCTCATTGAGTGGGCAAAAACAACCAAAGCATCAACTGTTTTTCCATTTCGAGCCGTCAGCTTGGTATTTCTGTCTAGTGTCTGTGATAGGAGAAGACAATTGTACAAAGATTATGTCGAATACTTCTGATGAGGATTAATTTCAGTGGAAACCTTCAACCAAAACCTAAATTTAGCATACTATTTAGCTTAGTCTCAAGGACCTAGCGTTTGTATTATAACAAGGGAGCCTATCAATGAGTTTTAAATTAGCCGTTTTGCTCTTCTGATGGCTAGCATGTCACCTGTATTACCCCCAGATCCTTTCTGAAAGGGAAAGGCGTTGAGGCGGGGTAGTTAATTGATTTGAGGTGGTATTTTTCTACCCTCAAATCTCCCTCTCAGTCATCAGATTGAATTTTTTTATGTCGCTTCTTCGAGTTGACTTCAAATACTCTATGTCGTAAACAGGCACTGGACTTTCCACCGATTTTCATTCTGTCAATACTAGGATTAAGTATGTTACAGTTCATCGAGTATTTTTGCTTGCGTGCGATTGGCCTTAAGGACGCGTCTCTCGACTGAATTTGCCTGCCAAAAAGTAGGTCAAATTGGGTCACTCAGGGATATTCGCAAAGTGATATCTCCAGTTTGAAAAGAATGTGTCCAGTGTGATGAATCTTATTTTGAAAGTTCATTTTATTTGAGAGAGGCATTTTTGCTGATGTACAAGAAGACGACGCAAAATTTTTGTTCATAAACTTGCTTTTTAAAAGCAAGACAGAAAACTGTCTGTGAAAGTTTCGCTCCGCACGCTGCCGAGAGGAAAAAGGAAGATTAAATGAACATTTACCTCTGACTTGTGAAGTGCCATTTTGAAATGTTTGAAGTATAAATAGTCTCGATCTTCACCATCAGAGAAGTTGGCGTACTTTTCCTCCGCTTCGTATCCAAATGAATCAAATTTGCCATCTGGGCGAAGAAGCAAAGAAGTTGGTGTCTTAAGGGTAGCAGCTCCCTGGTCATGTCCCCATGCTTTGTTCATATGGATACCTCCTTCTCCTTTCTTGTAGTTGAAAGCAAAAGCAAAGCCACTGTATGTGGTCCCAAAATCAATAGCAACCACGGCTATGTACGATGAACTTGCAGAGAATAACAAGCCTTCAGATGCTGAAGAGCAAATCGAATATTTCCTGATCACAACTACACTGGAAGACGCGACCGGCATGCACGAACTTTAGTGAGTAGTGGCTCACTGAGAATAAAATAGCTTTATTTCGCCTCTATTCAGTGAAAATAAAAGGTGCAGCTGCTAAGAGAATTCGAAAAAATGATACAAGAACATTCGCGAAAGAAATTAACATTAGTCATTAAATCATGCCGAAGGATATAATTATAATTATGCAGTTTCCGGCCGGAGGGTAGAAGCTGTGTATTATGAAATATATTTTAAAAAACCGGTTATTTAAAAGAGAATACTCCTCAGCTTTCCTTTCAGTGAAATATGGAGGTTTGGAAATACAGATCTTCAAACTGATTAAAACTCCTAGTTCTGGTTATTTTTTGTCAATACAATTCCTAATGCGTTCGGTGTCGCAGAGGCAGATACATGTGAGGGTTCTGTGCTCGTTTGATGAAAAAATAACCTCTTTACTTACTTTCCAGTCCGTGCATCAATCATCTTACATATTATCTATTAGCATATTTACTTTAACAAACTTCAAAAGTGAAGAGATCAGTTACTATGCAGGATCTTATATTAACAATCGAGGCGTTCGATTGCAGAAACCGAAAGTAATTCACTTCCGGGAATGGTAGGTTTCTCTCGTTCTCATGTCAAACTCCTGTGGCTCATACATCCTTGTCGATGATTCTTCTAAACAATAATTGATCAGTGAAGGAGATACAATTTATGGTATTTGAAGAGATCAGACCTGGCTGTCATTCCATAAAGTTTTTGCTTCGTTAACCAGTTTTGAAGCCTTCTGTTGCAACATGAACAGGATGCTATGCTATCACATGAGATTTACTTCGTTTCGCTCGAAAAAAAAAATGTATGTTTATAATTTTCTTAAGTAAAGAACGATCTTAATACCTACCACTCATACTGCTTTCTAATGATTCCTTAAAACGATGAAGGATCTCTTTATTGGATAGTACGCGTCGACAACACCAGACAAAATGCTGTTGTGCGATACCGTGAATTTTTCAGTTCCTCTTTTTCCTAGAATGCCATTTATCGTAGAGGAATTTTAACTTGTTTCCGGTTCCGGTCGCACTCTACCGGAAGTAATCCTGTAAAAAATGATATATTAATCTTTCTTTCTGTTTTCCGACAATCTACCTCGTGAGGAAGGCAGTGCAAAAAGGGATCTCTGTAAGGAACCATAACATTAGCAGTGCAAGGATCCACTGACCATAAATGTCGAGAATCCACTGAGAGTTGCAAAATTCGTGTTTCATTTCACTTTTGCTAAAGGACTCTTTTAATGAACTTTTACCAAAAATTGAAAAAAGGGAAAAGTTCAAAATTTGCCAGATGGTTGCTACTTCGGCAACTTCGTACTTCACAACGCGATGCCATTCCCAATTTGAAATTTTGTGTGCTGAAAATGGTTCTTTCTCGTTTTGAAGATATGAGTTGTCATGTTGTCACGTTTAAGTCAAAGTTAAAAACACACCTTTTTCGTTTAGCATTTTTATCTTAGCCTGAACACAATATTATAGCAGTATTAGTATTTGTATGTAGTTCTAGTATTTATTTTATTTTTTTTTTCATGAATAGTTGTATTAATTAATTAATTAATTATTACTGTGTTGTTTTATTGTGAAGCGCATTTGAACGTTGTATAGAATTTGCGCTATACAAATTATTATTATTATTATTAATAGTGACTAATCGAAATAATGTACTTTGTATCTTTTTCGCAGAGATATTTCTATCGTC